ATGACTATGCACGAACACACGTTTTCAACATGATTTCACAGAAACTAGAAGAAACAAATGTTGTTGTTGCTGAAGAAATGAAATTAGAATTAGCTGCAGTATAATAGCAACTCAATTGAAAACGAAATCCTGTAAAATAGCTAAACAATGATGGAAACATTAGATATTGATTAAGAAAAAGCTGATGACATATATATAAAAATTTAAAACTTTTATATCATTAGAAAAACATTTTTTCGGAATCAGTCTTTCGTGTATATATGTACAGGTAGGTGAGTCATGTTGCCATGGAATTTAAAGCTGCTGTATGTGTCAAAGTTGAAGAAACTCGGACAATGAAAGATAATACACAACGTGATTTTAATCAAGTACCACCAGCTGTCGAAAAAGCTAACAAAGCAATCGGACGTTTGAAAGCAAAAGAATATACTATTGAAGTAGTCATCAAAACTGTTTGTATTCGTATATGCTGTAAAAGAAAACGTAAAGTTTTCTGTTTATTCAAAATAAGAAAATGCTGATTCAAATGAAATTCAGCATCAACTAAAATTTTACTTGGTGATCCTATATAATTCTATAGATTAAATTCGTAATTGTCCAAAAAAGATAATATATCTGAATCAGCTTAACGTGTTTTAAAACCTTATTTACAAAATGTCAAATTTTAATTATAAAGATATTTTTGCAAAGTTCTATTGCATGTGCAAATCTTCCTAAAGAAAATATACTGATGAATTTAATGAATAAATGACAACTATGACTGCCAATATATTTGTTTCATATCAGCGTGAATTGCTTATTATGGAGCTTTTCTGTGAACTTATCGACAAGATGTATGAATTATGTTTGATTTTTCTTGTCACCTTGTCGATCATTGGATTACTGCAGGTAAAGAACATAAAATACTTGCATCTCATAATTCATTGATTATGAAATGTACTTGATGATGCTTGTTCAAGTCGACAAGCGCTTACACAAAGTGTACCACATGATGATTTCAGTATAGCAAAATGCTATACTTGTTACGAAAGGTCGCCGATGGTCTTCATAAGAAATGATTTCTATTTTTTTTTGATAAAAATAGAATCTTATTTCACTTTTTCTTTTATCTTTTAGAAGAATCATTGATTCACAAGAAAAATTAAATCGTTCGATTAAAAATAAAGAAAAATAAAAGCATTAGAAATCATGAAATTATGACTGATGGATGTTTTTTACGCATAGTTAGAAATTGTGTTCCTATCGATATGCCATTATTATAAGAACATGTTAATGAAACACTTGATAAAGTATTAGAACCTGATTGACTTAAATAAACAAATATTTATGTCGGTATGTGTATTTATGAATAATCGAACTATTCGTGATAGGGATTCTCTAATGGTTATGATTCATTTCTAGACAAAGAAAATGAAGAGCGTGGAATCAGAACATAGAAATCGTTTTTCCCTCAACTTTTCTAAATTCATGTTTTAATTAGAAACTTTAATTCTTGACTCTTGTCTATTAATTTTTATAGAATTTAAGTTGCTGTATTTTAATAAACAATTTGCAACAAAAATATTTTGTTTTGTTTTTATTACCCATATATTAAACTTATCATATTAATTGAAATATATTTCATAATGCTAGAAATATGTGATAACAATTTTCTATTCACATTCATTCAAAGAAAGAATATAATCAGCTGATTAGATCGATCATAATCGAGTGTCCTCTTTCCGTATATCCTCTACAAACGGAGTCGGACGCATTTAAATAATGACAATTCAACAATTCGTTTTGTTTGTTTGCGTATGTGCGAATATATATAGTTCATTTCAACCTCTGAAGTTTCATTCCATCACCGTCGTGATAATCATTTTTCTTGTTTTTATAGATAAAAAGATACACAAATATGGCTGCAGATAACGATTATCAGGAAGCTCTAAAAATGTTGCGGTTACATTTTCTCATTGAACAAGAAAAAACGAGAGAACAACAACAACAATTCAATGAGAAAGAACGACAACTACTTCTTGAACTAGAAAAAATGAGAGAAGAACGACGAATTATTGAACAAACAAAGGCAAAACTAGAAGACCGACGAAAAATTGAACAAGAAAAAACGAAACTAGAAGTACGACGAATCATTGAACTAAAAAATACAAAGCGAATGAAAATACAAAATCAGCATGCTTTATCATCAATCAATACAGGACAGACTTTATTAATCAATCATCGTGATTTTTACGATTATTATGTAGATGGTAACATTGATTCGTTCGATATAAATTTTTTATCAAATGAAAATAATTCTTTTAACGATGAAATAACAAATGATATTGAAAATTACTTGAATGATATTTCATTACTTTCTACAATATCGGAAGCAGCAACTCAAAAAGCATTTAATAAATTAATAGTTAATTTATTAGAATTATTTAATGGTTCTGCAGCATTGAAATATTTAACTACCCATAATTCAAGTGCTTTAGAAGGATTTCACCCTGTTTGTTGCTTTATATACAAAAATGTTAATGTCGATTACAAGTCAGAATCAAACTGTTTTCAACATTTTATTGTTTGTCTTGGTGAAGTAAAAACGCCAGACATTTCTATCGACAGCAAGGAAGCAATTGGACAAATTTGCCAATATTTGAGTACTTCATTATATGTACAGAATCGTCGAAAGATGTATGGTTTTTCAACTAATTTTACACATATAACATTTTATTATGTTGAAAAGAAACCGTATTCGACTACATATAATTTTTATAAAAGTCAAAATTTAGAAATGTTTAATTATTCGTCTCCAACATCATCATCTGCAGATGCGATAACAAAAATTGAACAATCAAGCAATAAATATTTGAATAAAGAAACATGGAAGATATTTGCAAAATTTTTAACGATGAATGCAGACTTCTACCAATATACAGCATTAACCATAAATCCTGTTGATGATTTACTTGGTGATAGATATGAAATAAGTCGAAAATTAGGAGACGGTGCAACTTCAATGGTTTATTCGTTAGCAAAAACGAAAGATAATTATGTGAACAATGATTTACAAAATTATGTTGTGAAAATCTCGAAACGAAGTTCATTCAAAGAATTATTTATCAACGAAATTAACATAATGAAACAGCTACAACAATCCAATAATTAAAATAAATTCTATTTGTTTTTTGAAAATATTATTAATTCATCACCTCCCAGGTCGATCAACCTGAGCCGTAAACGGCCGTATACATATCATTCACGGTGAAAACCGGCGACCGTATTTTGTAGTCGTTTACTGTTGCCGTAAACGAAGTTATACGATGAAATACGATCGTCGTAAACGAGGACCGTGAAAAAGCTCCGTAAACGGTCATCGTAACTAAACGCTAACCTT